TTTTTTTAAGTATGTATTATTGTATTATAAAATCCACTGTACATAGTCCCATAACATCTTTTAACTTGGATTTAAATTTTATTATTGTAAATAGCTATAGGTTTTTTTTTTTTTTTTTTTTTTTTTAACTCGTAATTTATAAGCTAATTTGTTAGGCACCTTTTTAATGTGGATATAAGGGCAGTCATAGAGGCTGGATCTCCTCATAAGTCATGTACACGTAAACTACAGGTAGATGGCCACGCGTGTGCTTCCCGCGAGCATGTCTCGCGCGTAACTCAGCCTTGCGCCTCATTAGTTTAGCTGTAACCAAAAAAATTAACAAAATTTCAATGTACGCAATAAGTTTTCCGAGTTATTGAGCCATTGAAAAGTTGATAGCACAATCTGCAAACACCACGCACGTAGTTGTAATGTATTACTAAGTTATACAATGTACTGAGTACTATCAAATGCTTGCAATAAAATCAGGGTAATATATCGTCACTGGATTGTATCAGTTCCAGCTTTTTAAAGGAACTCAGTCACGGTATTTTGGGCACGTATAAAAAACCTTTAAATTGAAGAAATCCTGCAAATAGTAGTTTACTAAGATAGGAAAACGCCACAGAGATAATAATGCAACGTAAAGGAACAAGGATGGTTAAGGATGGAGAAGATTAACACGGATTACAAACGACGCATTTTTAAAGACGGAAAGGAGGCTTATCTTTTCCAGATGTGCAAACCGTGACGAAACTGTTTAAGTGTCCGGTTAGCACAGAATAAGAATAAATAACATGGCTTTCACAGCTCTGGAAAAGTCGGGGAATTTGGGGGAATTTTGTTGTTGTTGTTGTTATTGTTTTTTCGTCATTATCGTCGTTTTGTGGCGGTTTTTTTTTTTTTTTTTTTGGGCGGGGGTGGGGGGTCAGCAGGTTGTCAGGCACAAATTGACGAATTCGGTACGTAATTTTCCAGTGAATGAAGATCATTGCGGGCTCATATCATGGGTGTTGTTCGTAACAATTATATTCAACTCAAAAATAAGTCGCTTTCCAAGGCAGTGATTGTTCTGGATTAGTTCGATCCCGGTCCATTTGGCAGCCCTGGTGTGGGTCGTCACGCAACCCATCCGAGCGATCAAGAGAATAAGCGTAGCGTGGCGTGAACACAGAGACTTATGCAAAGGGAACCTTTCCAGGGTAAGTCCTTCGTGCGAAGCGATTCGAGGTTTAGTCGAGTTGTGGCCTTCTCTCCATCACGCAACGCTTCGCTTCGTGATGGAGAGAGGACTAGCTCATGACTACAAGAAGTAAGGTTAACATCAACATGGGACCCGTCAACGCAAGATAAAAATGTGACGGAAATTCACTCCAACATGTTAGGGAAGTCGTTTATTTCATCGACACCCTTTTCAATATGTCAAGACTATTTTATTCATGGCCTCGTTATTTTCTCAGATCGTGTAGCAGGTGGAAAGCATTTCTTTAACTTGTGCCTTTAACGATCATCTGAGTAACTGTGGCTGTGAAGAGTCTGACACAGTAAGGTTGATCAGTCAGAGTGCTTCAAAGCGCATGTCGGATGCTGTTAGATAAATAATCTCAAAATGATTTCAATGGGGTTCTTCAAAGAGGATACAAAATCGAATGAAGAAACAAGAAAAGGAAAGAAAAACAAACAAACAAAAAGAGAAAAGAAGTATCTTTCAGGACCACAAGAATTCAATATATGTTTCTTTCAAAAGTGAAGTACTTGGTATTTCCCTCGCGTTACGTCACGCCATTAGAAAAACATAACCTCATTTTATTTTGTTTTTGTTTTTCCTCCACGGTTGGCGATTTTCAGAGTTCGTGTTATAAGCTCTCTAACAACATTCCCAATCCGTGAAGAATCGGAGAAGATTCCAGATCCGTAGAAATATGATTCATACATAGGTCATTAGTATAATTAGAAACACTCGTGTCCATTTCCCTCGCATCATAACTCACTTCCGACTGCGCATGGTTTAAGTCGTTCACAGCTGACGTGAGAGCCATCTCATTTCCAGATGCTGCGTCCACCGTTGGCCAGAACCGCGCAGGGTCTGGGATCGCGATAGGTGTTGCAGTCGATGAACTGTCAGTCCCATTTACAAAAGCTTCTGCTAAATCAAATTGAGTAAATTTCTTATCATTACTTTTCCCGATAACGGGTGCCTCGTTTTCACTGACTCTTCCGCCATCCTGATTGTCCAAATGTGTCTCTAGTAAACTTCCGCTAGAAGCTTTCTCACCGTTCTGATAAGGTTTAGCCGGAAGACTGGGCTCCATAGCGTGATTATTACTCAAGTTTTCGATTTTATCACGTGATTCTTGACTAGATACCAGATCCTCTTTCTTGACATTCGCGCACAACGGAATGGGACTGAGCACTAGATTCTCTTTCTCTACATTCTCAAAAGGCCGAGGTGGACTGGGATCCATCTCTGGTTTCTCGGCGTTTTCGCTCGATTGCGAAGAAGACAAATTCTTTTTCTTCCCTCCTTTATTTTTAAATTTACGTGGTGTGTTGTCCAGGCCAAGGCATTTCTTCAGAAGGTTTTTGTTTCCTTTCCGTTTCTTGATTCGCTTTCGTTTTACCTCCAGAATCTTGGGTTTCTCCACTGACGGTACCGTATCGTTTTTCTCGAGAAAAACGTATTGCAGATCTACGAATGGCTGTCAAACAAAAGAAAATTCAGGTTATGAAAATTGCCTGCCTTTGTTGTTTCTGCTCACGAAGTAAGGGCCCAGTTATTACAAAATTATGACGTGCTGTTAAGAAGCCCCTTTTAATAGGAACATTTCCTAACAAAAGGAGCCAATTATTAACATCTTACTTCGTCTGCGAATTTTGCTTTTGATTATGCAGTAACGAAAACCAGCCTTCAATTTGAATAAGAGGAAAGGGCTTTTTTTATTACCCTGATCCTGCGGTAGAAAGCCAAATACTAAAAGCTCTTGTAAGCGACCAGCTTCCTTTGGTTCAGCGTGTGGTCGCTTTCGAGAGTTCATTCGCGTAAGCGACCACCTCTAGTTACGACAACGTTTTCGGCAAATTTCCGAGGTGGTCGCTTAAAAGAACTTCAGCTGTATCTTGACTTTCAACACCCACTACTAAGACCTCAGCTCAACCTTGTGTGGCGAACAACGTCTGCACCCGCACAGCTGCTGAGAGTGACTTTTATCGCATCATTCCTAGCCATTGCCCTTCCTGTGCTTACCCCTTTTGTGTTATTTACCTTGGAATAAAGTCCGTAAATCCTGCACACTTCCTTCATAGTCAGGTGACCATCCAAAATTTCATCTGAGCGAATTATTTCAGTCTGTAAAAAAATACAACATAAGTAGATTATTCTTTTGTAACCCTATTGAAATGGCATTTTTCCGAATTTTACCGACACCGAACCAATACAATTTTATGACTTAGAAGCACCCTCCACTAGCTTGATGTGGGATGTCACGTAATACATGTATTTACACAAATACAAAGTGTAACGTGACAAATTAAGAACATCTGCGAGCGAACGAAAAACAACAAGCCCTAATTTATCTATACTATCTTATAACTTCACCAAGATAAGGCCGTTTGAAAATACTTACATTGTGAGTTTCCGGAATGGCAAACTTCATGATTAAGAATTTTTTCAACACCTTCACAGTCACTTCCGACGAACAGCGTAGAAAACGAGTCGGGAAGATCTGGGAACGAATCACGTCAAATTCTAAATCATACCTTGCAAAAAATAGACCTTGCATGTACTTGAATACCCTTGGTGCTATACATGGCCGTGGTATCTTTATTTCTTAACACAAAAACTTCCACCTTTCGTATAAAGAAAAAAGTATTTCTCACCTCCTTCTCCATACGGTTCCTTGTTTTCCTGCATCAAAGGAAATAAAATGCATTAGCCAGGGAGAATTTTACAACTATCCATTTATGGGCAACCCTCTCCAAGACCGACCCAACTCCTGACTTTCCCAATCACGTGGAGATTTCAGGAATGACCGACTACTAGCAGGTTACTCCTAACCCAACCCTGACACAAAGACATAAACATCATGTATCTAATTTCCGATGGCGGTGGCCTCATGGTTAGTGCGCTCACCTCTGGATCGTGCGGTCAGGATTCAAGCCCTGGCCAGGGACATTGTGTTGTGTTCTTGGGCAAGACACCTCACTCTTCCAGTACCTCCCTCTACCCAGGTGCATAAAATGAGTACTAGTGAATTTAATACTGGGGGTAACCCTGCGATGGACTAGCATCCCATCCAGGGGGAAGTATAGTAAAAATACTCCTAGTCGCTTCATGCTACAGAAACCGGGATATGTTAGCTTCGGCCTGATGGGCCACTTGGCTCGTATGCAGACTTTACCGTGCTACCTTTACCTTCTAACTTCTGATACGAAGCTAAGGCATCTTCCGTTAGGGGCATCTCCTCTAACTACTGTAAGTATATTACTTTTAACTTCTCCCAACGTTCAGTGTGCTTCACTCTTTCAATCCACAATATAGGCAGACATTCGCTGAAACGTAGTCCCAACGCGACTTCCACTTAAGAAATTACAGGGGGGCCCTCGCATTCAATTAGAGGACGAATGGGAAATAATGTTGTCCACGCAATCCTGATTTTGGCGGATCCGGTTTCACCAGTTCATCTGATGCGAGGTCTGGAGTCGAGAAAATACAGGGTCTGAGACAACCGATCGTGGACCGGGAATAGATCTCCGGGCGATTTCCGGAGACTTTTCGGTTCAAGGCCTTGCACCAGCTGACAGTGCATTTAAAATTCAAAATGGCAGCCACGAAGCAAGAAGCCGCCGACGTTTTATTCGTCTTCTAATTTTATGCAAGGGCCACCTGTAAGTTTAAGAGATGTTCGATTACATTTTCTCTAATAAGTGAAGCTCTTTACTGCAGTGTTTCACACCTGAAATATTCGAGAGTGATGCAAACTGGATCGTCAAACGGAAGGTCTTCTTTCTCCTTCTCCTTCTCTTTTGAAGCAGCAGAATCACTCGCTGTCTCTTCAGAGGCTGTACAAACAAGGAAAACAGCATTCATCGATCTGGCTATTATCCTTAGCATTTGCCTAATTAGGCCCAGAGCCCAGAATTTTTGTTAAATAGTTTTTTGTGTGTTTGTTTGTTTGTTTTTAATCTAATTTTATTTTATTTTCATCTTATTTTATTTTTTTAAATAACATAGGTTAAATAAGTTGCTAGGTGACATGACCTAACGTTATGACGACACAGTTATTATCTTCGGCATGCTCGCGAGAGCCCGTGAAAAGCCGAATAACAATCGGGAATTCTTCGGTTCCACCGATGTTTCCTCGAAGATTTAACAGAAAACGAAAATGTTGCTCGGGCTGTCTAACAACAGAGACCAGGAACTGGAAGTATGAACTGAAAGTTTCAAACCTGGCTCATCCTTGCCCTTTTGATTCGCTTCAAATTCCTTGCGTCGATTTACTTCTTCTGTAAACGAACAACATCGTGAATTAAAAGAAGGTTCCTTTATTGAATAAAAACTGTGCAAACGATAGGGTTAGGAGTCAAGCAACAAGCCTGGGGACGAAATTGTTACGTACTGTAAACTGCTAAAAGAGATTATTAAAATCTAGGGGTGAAATGGATAGAAAATCTCAGCAAGTAGCAAATAAGGTAACTACTGGTGAATCTCAATGGCTTCACACGTTGATCGACGAAAGTTAAAGCACTGTTTAACATCACAGACGGAGTCTTTTAATATGCTAGAAATAATCGTAGAAAAACAAACAACTGTAAAAAGCCGTCGACAAATAAGGTTGACTTTTTTTACCGTGAACCACCAAAGGAGGAAACGATATGTTTGAATAACAAAGGCCAAGGAAGCTTTTTGGGTATCAGATAGAACGGAAACGAATCATTTAAAAAAAATAATTTTTGTGCTTACCGTGATAAATACCAGGTACGATCTTGTAGACGATGTCTTGTAAAGTTCTGTCTGGTCTAAAAAATTAACATACCCACGGGATTATCGTAATGTATAGTGAAAGATTGACTTTCAGAAGTTCTCTTTAGTTAGGTTATCTGTAAACTTCCCTGTTAAAACAACTGCTCTCGATCTTTGACGTGATGTAAGTCGCCAATTATCAATTCTCTTCAGAGACATACATTTAGTTCTTTTTGTGAACAGATGGCTCCACTTCAGGCAAGTCAACGTTAGAAGCCTTTAACTCGAAATATCAATTCCCCATACTGAATGCAAAATGTTTCTTTTCATTTCAGTTGTAAGAATTTCTTAGTACATCAAGGCATTATTCTCTAGTTGATTATATTCATTGATCTAATCAACTGTCTTCTTGTAAATGTATGAAAACTGTCAGGAGAAATTAATCTTTGATTAAACTGTGGAAACGGAAGAAATTCGCGCGAAAGCCGTGAAGTAGAAAACTTTTAAAAGATAAGTTTGATAAGCATAAATTGCAAAGCAGTTGACATTAGAATCCCCTCACCTAATATGCAGTAGAGGTTTAGTCTTGTGTACTTCAACGTCACAAACAGGACAGTGATACGATGTTTGAAGATACTTCACAATACAGCTACGACAAACTGAAGATAAAAAAACATATCATTTCCTAACTTTGAAAAACAAACAAAACAACAACAACAACAACAAAACAGCCCGCTGGTTATATATCTTCAACCGCTTAAGGCATGTATAATATAGTTTCTCGTAAACAAAGCAGTAGAAAGCTAAATAAACCAGTAGGTATTGAAACGCTTACACGAATGTAGACACTCGACTATTGTGGTAGCGTCCACCAAGTATCCGCCACATAGAACACACATGATGTGAGCATTGAGGTCTTGAAGATGCATCGTTCGTAGAGACATCTTGTTTTCTTGACGCAAGCTGGAGAAAGGGAAAGCGAAAAAATAACGCTTTGGAAACTGAAAACTCGCTTCTAAGACGGCGACTTAGAAGTAATAAACTCTAACGAAATGTACGTGCAGATACATATGAAGCCAAGACTGAGAACTTAACTGGTCGCCTTAAAAGTACCTCGACTTAAGGCGCTGTTACAGTAGGCAAGTTTTCTTGCAACTTTTCTTGAAGTGCGACACAAGTCTAGTTCATGGTAGCGACATAAACCTAATAACGGCACAAGGACGTTGTGTCCTTATGTTTGCTGTGTGAACAACCTGACATAACGACATAATAGCAACATAACAGCATGAACATAACGACATAACGAAAAACCGAACTTTTCTTTATGGACTGGTTAACATTACCGACAAAAGCCATTCTGTCGTCATGCCATGTCGTTTATGTCGTTATGTCGTTATGTCGCTAGTATGAACCAGACCCTACACACCCCTAAATACACATGTCTCGCAACATTTTTGTTACAGGAAACGTTGCACGAAGTACAATCAAGTTATACTTCTTGCTTCGCGTGATGCGAAGAAAATGTTGCGAGACGTGTTCATTTCCGGGGGGGGAGGTGCGGGGGGGTCTTACACTACACTAGGCAACGTCTCGTGTAAATTGTTACAGAACGGCGCAATAAATTAGCGACACAGGTGGAAGCAAAATCACCTGGTGTAACTGCACATTAACGCTACCAGTGGTTTGTATTTATCAGTTTTAATACTGTTTTACCGACTCATTTTTAACGACTTTCGGCGTCGTGGATTACCTAAAAACAAGACCACCATTTATCTTGCAACATTTTCCCGCTGATACGTATTTCGGAGTCGCATAAGCTAAGTTGTTGGTCAGTTATAAAAAAAAGTGCCATTTCTGTCGACAACCTTTTTAATTTGAGTTCATTCAAAAAATAAAGTCTCCATCTATCCCTAGTCCACTAAGACAAAGTTCGTTTATAAATTGGACTAAAATAGGTCTGACAAACCAACAAAAGGCAAAAATGAAATCATTTTACTAGACCTTGAACTGAAAATCGCATGGTTTCAACATTGTATAGCGGGTTTCTTGTTGAACATTATCACGCTTTTCGGCTAACCGGCATTTCAAAATCTGTGGCCAATCTATAAGCGATATAGATTCTGTCTCTTTGTAAAGCTGGTTTGTTCATAGAACCGTGATCTCCATTAAAACGCTGGTCAATTTAGTGAAACTTTTAGAAAAAGTAATGTGGATTGTCTTTTAACAAGCAGGTTTGTACATGCAACCGATATCTCTGTTAAGGCGGCGATGGAGAAACGGTAACGTTTATTGTATTTATTTCATCTCGCGCTTCGAGCTTTTTTGCTGGCGACTACCTCTGTTCTTGGACTCGAGGTTAAAACTCAAATGAAAGCTCTTTCGGGAGAACAGAACATTTTTCTCTCGTAAGCTAACTAAATAAGCGAGAATCGAGAGATTCGGAATATTTATCAGGAAACTAAAATGAACATCTCAGCATATTGCAAAAAGCACCTCCAAATAAGTCAGAAAAATCGCGGACCGCGCTGGGCTCCGCACAGCTCTTATGAACTGAGAGGTATCATAAATAGGGAAACAAAAGACCCTCGAACTTGAGTGGGAAAAAAGTTAACTTTTGCCCACGAAAGTAAATATGGAACTCTTCATAGTGACAAGCAACAATAATTAATGTTTTCTTTACACCATCACAGCATTTATATCCAGAAATGAGATGAAACGGTGCGAGCATTGCCAAAAATTATCAAAAGGCTCGGAGAGCATATATTGATAAACCGAACACACACAAAAATTATTTAATAATTCTGTTAAATATATCCAGGTATCATACTGTATATTTTCCGAGCCATTAAAGTTGCATTGTGAAGTAGTCTTTTCTTTCAGACCTCCATTTCTGAAATTTTCAGACAGGTTACAATGCTGAAGACTGAAATTCTATATAACTACATTATGTTGTCACAAGACGGTCATGCCACGTTGATTTTCCCCTTAGAATAACTACTTATTATTATTACGAAATGCAGGAACATTAAGTTCGTTTTCAAAATAAATTGCATACTATTTACGCAATACCGTGTATACGTTAGGACTGAATTGCGTATTTTGGAAACTAAACTGGCGAATGTAATGAGTATACGGGAACAAACGATGGGGTTGCCTCTGATTCAAATAAATACAATCGTTGTACGATCATGACTTATATTGAGTTATCAATAACTTTCTGCATGTATTTAACTCATGCACAAGTTCCGGTGCGTAAAAAGATCTCTCGGAACCAAAAAGACTTGTTAAAAGACGTTTGTGATACCGATCGAGATTAAGAAAAATCACGATCGCATCCATACCAAATCCAGTCATCCACAGACCGCATTTCTGTAGCGATGCTCGCGTGCAGACGGACATGATGCCGAGTGGAGACCATGGAACAACTTGCACTCGATTGAAGTGATTAAAATAGCGTTTCGTCCATCTCTCCTACCGAGAGGTGCAAAGCCCAATAAGTGGCAAGTTGATAATAAAGCGCATTGTCTAATTACAACTGAGCTTCTTTGAAAGTTATAAGTCACGCAGTACTGCAAGAACTCCGTCCGTCCTCTTTTGTCGAGAACTGAGCGAGCACTAAGCCTTCCTCGCAGACACGACTTGTGTCTGCGAGGAAGGCCTAAATACTGAATAAATCGGCGATTAACAGTTTTTTTAGGCTCGTCGTGTTTGCACTGATTAGCTGTTCAAACGAAAGGTTCACCCGCCTCGTAACAGAATTGTGCGGTTTAGTCAAAATAGATCGGTTGATTCCAGGGCACATGCAACTGATCGTTTGTTCACTGCGGTTGTCTTTCGCGACCTCAAGGAAACCAGTTTCAGGTCCCTTGACTATCTCAATTAAACAGTCCCGGTGTGCCAATTTCATTCACTGACAATTTTAATTTCTCCATAAACAGACAAACTGAGTTGTAACGAAAATGACAGTAAAGAATTAAGAATTTCTACGATTCGGCCGTGTCGTTAATTGCGTGCAAATCACAAACGAAGGTGCTAGTAAATCAGTTGCCGGCATGTTTCCTGATCAGCCATGTTCCTGTTCAATATATCTCACGTACATGCGTCAATGCGACCTTTTTAACTAACTGGCCTTTTATTAAGCCAATCTCCTAAATTATCGAGGCCAGATCAACTCTAAGGAAATTTCTAGACCGAAATCGCGATCACAAGATCATTTCTGACTTCGCTACAGCCATGCCAAATGACTCAGTAGTTATTACTGAGCAGTAGTTCATAAAGACAGCTTGATATGATGAAAATGGCTGCAGTTTCCGTATCCTCTAGAGTCGAGCAACGAAAAACTAAACACAAGTTTTAGTAATATAAAATTAGCGACCTTTATTGTTAGCTTAGAATAGTTCGGTAGATACCCAGCTCTTGCAATAAGGCGTTTACAAGTCGAGTGAATAAGGAAACTTCACAGACCTGGGAGTCTTTTTCCGCATCAAATCAAGAGGAATAAGCTTTTCACGCAAACAAGGACCTCGTGCAGTGTCGCAACGTTCATTCCACTCCAGTCTTGTACATATCAAACCCATTTAAATGTTTGTGTTGCATTTGTTTGGCTTCCATTACCTGTATTCATCTCTTCAATACAATGAGTGTATGCTCCAAACCCACCTTCTCACGGCAACAGCAAGTTTACACCAGCCGCAATAAGTGCAAAATACAGTGAAAGATATCTAGTATACTACAATATTTAATGCTCCCCCAGTTAATAAGCCAATGGTATAATATGGTCGTGGAACAATTTAGATATCTACTCTGTATTAGAGAGGGTTTCGGTACTTTCTTGGTCAGCAGTCCGCTGAATTTTCGACGGACAGCCATGATTCACTTAGTTCATGTGGGTGTTTTACTTCGAAGAAGTAACCTTCTGTAAAAACAGATGAAGAACTGAAATGGTTTTTGTCAAAATGAAACAAAATTAAACCTGATAGCACAAATATTAGTGCATTACAGAGAAAAGATGACATTTTAGGCTAGTCAGCTGAAACCATGTAACAACCAGTGATGAGTGAATTGCATTCAGTCGCGAATCAACCATGAACCGATGCAACTTTTAACGCAACTTTGAGCGCTTGAAAGCAATTATCTTGCAACGTTTTCACACAAACAGCAAGATAATGTATTTTTCTAATGTTTGTGTCAGTCTTAGAAGTAAACATAGACATTAAGAGGGTAATTTTACCTTTTTCTTTCGTGGTCAGTTCGCCGATTGTTGTTTTCGATCTTGTGAAGGACGCAGAGCGTAGCTTTGTATTGATTACACCGCGCACGTGATCTGTTGTGTCAGTCAACTCGAGGACAAAGGAAGCCGCTTCGGGTGTATAATAAATGATTAGATTCAGTTGAATCGTTTCTGATCAAAGAGCAGAGGACCCAGAAATTAATCCAGCGAAAAAGTGCGTATAAATATGTGTGTAGAGGAAAGAAGAGTCGAGGAGATTTAAGTAAAGTTTGCCTTACAAACGAGAGAATTTGTAAAACAAAAATTTCGTTCTTTAATCCTCTCACACTGTCATCCGAACGATACAAAGATAACCGGATTGATTGCTTATCTCTACTAAAGCAAGCTAGCGGATACGTTAGTTGGGTCTCGAAATTATAATTACCACATATTTTTCGGTTGAGAAACTCGTCTGAGCAACACCTAGCTGAAGAATTAAGTCCAGCAGGGCTAAAAGGATTTAAGAACGTGTCGTGGGGAATACATAGCCTGGTATATTTAGAGAAGTTTATCAGTTACCTGTGACAAGACCTGATAAGGACCAGGAAAAAATTAAACGTTCATTCGTACAGAATGTGCCATCGCTTAATTCACGCACGTTATCTGGTATTTTTCGACGGTTCGAAACGACAACAGACAACCCGACGCAAATTGTTTCGCAGACAAAGCTTGTAGCCTAAGGCAAACTGTACCT